CTTAACTTGACATGCATATATATACTTTTTATCATCCCACTATTAATCCACTTTACTTTCACTATTATCATCAAGTGATAATAGTATATCTAAACACCACTTTTTACTACTTTTTACATGGCTGGCCGCTTGGAAATGGCCCGAACGGCAGCCTAGGATAGCTTGCTCATTAGGTGCAAATTCCCCAAGGCCTAAATGGTCAGGCATACTGAGCTAACTTTCCCCATAGGCTGTCCAACATATCTAGGGCACACAACTCTATATATTTTTTGAGTTAAGAGAAATCCAACACATCAGATTTTTCATGCAGAGCAAGGCCACATCTTTCCGGTCAATGGTTGTTGTATTTCTGATGATATGTTTTCTACAAGACATAAATATGCTTATTAACAGTAAAATAATTTGCAGTATTTATTAACATAAAACAAATTTGAGAAAATAGATTGAGGTAAATAACTTTAAAACAATTTATTACTTGCTTTATAATATTAGCAGTACAATTATAATATTATTTCTGGAAATTACTGAAATTTAATATCAACTAAATCTTAGTATTTAGACATGACAAACAAGTGATGGTGAGTGGAGGTAGTGGTATTATTTTTTTTTATGTTAAAGAATAATATAAATTATATCTTGAAATTTTATATAATAATTTAATTTTATAAATTAAATTAGTTTTTTAATATGATTTTAGAGTTTTAATGACAAAATAGTTATGAGTTTAAATTTTATTATTTTTATTTATTTTATAAAAATTAAATATAAGATAATATGAATCTGTATAAGTTTTAAGTGGTTTTTACATAAAAAAAAATATATTAAAAAATAATATAAATCATATCTTGAAATCTTATCTAATAACTTAATTTTTTTAATTAAATTAATTTTTTAATACTTCCATACCTATAACTCGAGGGAGAACAACATCAAATGCAAGACACCTGAAGTAATCCTAGTTTGGGCATTCAAAATTTCGTCAGAACTCACCATGCTAGACCTCCTGCTTCCTATATCTGGGGGCCATCAGATATTTCTAATCTACTGTTAAGAACTCGAGGTTTTTGTAACAAGAGGGAAAGCACCGACAATGGCTAAGTCAAAGGCCCCTCGGACCGATGCCCCTGTATCTGCCATTTTAGGCCCCAAAAGCTGGCTCTGGCTCGATGCAATCATATCATCTTTCTTATCATTTTCCTTACTGTACAATTGGCCTTACCAGTGGCTACTACATTTATCCCATCAATCAAAACACCAAGGAAATCCCATTGGTTTTTAGATATTGTGTCAATATGTAGTTATTTGCATGTCATAGCCATGACATTAAGTACAGCTTTTCTTTTGAGTTGCATATTCAAGTGCAGGTCTGAACAGCTGTGCCTGAAGCAACCAGATTGGTAGCTACTTGGGTTGGGTAGCAGAGCGCTGGGGGAAAGATTCCTTGGTTGTGCTTAAAGCAGTTTGGTCTTCTTGCTACAAGAAAGCTATCTATTTACTGTAAAATTTCTGGACATACCATATACGAACATGGTGGCTGATGGTTAGCTAAGAACGCTAGGAGCTCCTTACCTTCTAATCAACTAAATCAGCTTCCAAATCGGAATATCATTTTGTATATTTACGGTGAATGTTTTAGTTAAACTCTGACCAGCTAATGTTTTTATTGAAGAAAATCCAGGTTAGTAACAATCAAAAAGGGAGAAATCTTATGGACCATTAAGCTCTCCAAAGCGAGCAGAGAAAAACCTGCGTGCTTTTAAAGCCACCGGATCATACTTTTCAGAGCAACCCTTGACTCCATGCAGTGGAGGGACGGAATAAAATAGCTATTCAACTACGGTGAAATTCGGAACCAAAGGGCACACAAAAGGTGTAAGTACTTCCTTTTTCGGGAATAAGCTCATGTTGGCTGACAAGATTTACGAGGCAGGCACCACCCCCGTTGTGCCTAGTGATTTTGGATAGCAAGGCTCAAATGTAATTGAAAGTGCTCTTCAAAATGAGTTGAAACTATATATATATCTCCTATGAATGATCCAATCAGGATTCGCTGGTTCGAACATATAAATTAACAGTAACTATGCAGGAGACCCAATAACTTGAGTAATTTTATTTGGACAAATTCCTTTATTAATGTCATACAATAGAAAAAATGATTATACACAAGTGAAGACTACAGAACAACTCATATCTACAAGATTTTGTGATTCAAAGAGATAAATGGTTATTATGATGAAAAGGCCACCCCGAACATCAACTCTCACATATTCTAATCTTTTTGGTCGAATAACTATATAGATGCTGGGAACATGATTCGACAGGAACGTGATGCTCGAGAACACCTCAACCATGACAAGGGTCACTTTGAACACCATCTCTTTTTTCCCAGGAAATCTGGTTAGAGATCCAAACCCACCCTCATTTCTCTTGCAAATTTGAGACAGATGAGAGTCTCTCTTCCAAGCCTTCAAGTAGATCATGGTATTCAGAAAATGCAGGGCGTGACTGGAACACAGATCAGGAAGGCGGGGTAAGATTCCCATAAAAACACCACCATTATTAATTTCATTAATCAGCAATGTTTTGAAAGATGAATACCTGAAGGGTGATGCTATATGCTTTCCACAACCTGATATCATGCTGGAAAAGATCAAAAAGAACCTGTTGAAAGCAACACAATAAATTAGCCTGGAAGACAAACCATGTGCCAAACTTGGCCTGAGACCTTTTCTGTCCATCTGCCTATTATATGAAACTATAAGATAGGGTTTGGTTACTGTATAGGGACATAAAAGAAGATAGTAAGCACAAAGGAGACATGTCTCTTTGTACTTACTGTTTTGAAAATAAAGAAAATAACTCCAAAACTATCCCAAAGATAAATTTATTTTATGTCTTCGTCTCTGTTTCTTTTATCCCAGGAAATTAACCAAATGCAATCTAGGTGGCAGCAGTGCCTCTTTCTAAGTGTGGTTGGGTGGTGGGAGGGAGGGAGGTTGAGGTATGCCTCTTTCTAAGTGTGGTTAGTTGGGTGGTGGGAGGGAGGGAGGTTGAGGAAAGGGTTATCTATTTACAAGAACAAAGGCTAGATAAAACAGTCTTGACAGAAATCATGAGCATGTGAGGCTAAGGAGAGGGCAATCAAGTTACAAGAACAAAGCCTAGATAAAACAATCTTAACAGAAATCATAAGCATGTGAGTACAGAACAAAAAATTGGCGATGTCTTAACCCAGTCAATCGAATGGAATAATACCCAGCATCGTCTCTAATGCATCAATGTATCTCTTTAGTTCAGTAATTAATTATTAGTGTTACATTACAGGAAAAGAAGTTTGAACTTCCAATGCACAACTAGCATTGCGGAGATATTTTCCCACTAACTCAAGCATTTTGAACCTTTTAAGGTTGAGCAAATTCCCAAACAACCCCAAAAGTATAAGTTACAAGCTTCAAGCAAAACCACACGAATCAGACTTCAAAAAAGTTTGCCTAAATATGGAAGGAAACACAAGCAATACAGAGAGAGATGGCATACCCATGAGATGACAATAAATGCCAGAGTATGTATATATATATATATATATATATAAAAAAAAAAAGAAAACTGGTTATACCTCATATATATATAAAAGAAAACTGGTTATACCTCAGCTCGTCTTAAAAGTGTGGCCAGAACAACTATCCATTCCTTGAACTTCACAGAACACATATGAGCCAATAGAAACTCTGCGTCCAACCGGCTTTGCAACATTCCCATTTGTAGCTGAAAACATACAATAAAGGTTCTACGAGAATAAAATAAAAGGCAAAGCAAACTTTCAAGTAATAATGATTAAAATATTAACCATGGTTCAATATTGCTTCAGGGAATATAGCAAATATGAAAACGATATCAGCACTGATGCAAGATATGTGAGATGTCTTTTTAGTCTTCACTAATGATACATTTTCGAGGATTTTAATTTCAAAGATTTTGTTACCAGCTCAGAATAGTGAGATTAAAACAGAGACTACTGCTGGGGTACACCACCAAAAGGCTTTTTAACAAGTGATCTAATTTTCCACATAAGATGTGCAACGAGGAGGAGGTTATTTAGGAAATCCAGTAAGTTATTTATGAAAGAGAGAGATTCATGCCAGCTATTTTATTAGGAGTGTTGAGAACCGAGGAATTTTAGGATGTCACCTTCTGCCCAATTAATTCCAGCCCTGATGCAAAATTCTCTAAGCGAGCACTACCATATCTTTCTCGTTGAAGGTATTCCTGCAATTAATTCACAATCTTAAAATACAGTACAAGGAGCGGATCATCTTTCAAAAAAACTGTAGGTTTTGCTTACCACTAAATCAAACTGAGTGCCTTTTACAAAAGCCACAAGCTTGGAAAGTTCTTTCCCTGACATCAAATAGCTGGCATGGCTTTCTAAGATGCTCTTCACAGCAGCAATGTGAGCGCTTTGCTCTTTCAAGGAATTACTGCTCCAAAGGAAAGGCACCTGATTTGTTAGCAACTTTCCGAAGTTAACTATTACAAGGGTCTGAAAAATGTACAAGAGAACAGGATGAATATATCAACCTCTTGTCCAATGATGGCTTCTTGTAACTGGAGTGGAAAAGAAAATAACCCAAAAATCTGGTAGATGGTCTATCTGAATCAGTCGATGTCTGGTCATATTCCTTTCCAGACCTCAGCAAGAAGCGCACCTAATAACAAAACAAAAGGAAATAAATGTAATGCCCCATGTTAGGTTTGAGTATCATTTGCTGAAGAATAATCATGCCCAGAGTAATACCAGTTCTCCAGCAAGGTCATACAAGGATTCGTCAAGTGTTGCCTGTACAAAGTTGGTAAACATTGTCAGAGATGTACCATAGAGAAAATAACAAACAAAGAGGAGAGTGGCTATGGTAAGCTACTAGCATTTTCCTACCTGCAATAATTGTAAGGCGCAGTATTGACTGACAGCAGGACCTTCAAGTTTCGCAATCACCTATGACATTCATGAAAAGGAACAATTTAAGTGAGCCCAATTTTAACTACAACGCATTCTCTCGACCAATTTGCATGCATAAAAAGCAGAATGTAGCTCTGGAATCCTCTTCATAAATCATGGTCTTGTGAGGATGGATAAGCTTCTTTTTATCCTTTTTATTATTATTGCACCTCTCAGGCAAAGATTTGAATGTGTCCTCCCAACCAACGCAATCCAATATTAAAGGACACAAGATAGTTTAAGATTATAAACATTGAGTAATGCAAGGGATACCAGCACCCTTCTACTAACTCATCGCATCCATGATACAATAAAGATAAAGGTTTTAAATAATAGTGATTTGACTTTCAAGTATTTAACCAGATACTTATCACTACAAAATTAGAAAAAATAATATAGTACCTATCATCAACCACCACATCAGTTCATAAAAAAAAATGCTTGCAGATGTTTTAGTGTCTCTAGTATTATTCATCACCCTAAGAAATCCCTATGAGATCAAAGAAACCTGACTGTATGTGTTGACTACAAGCGATGGCATAAAACTATGCTGAAGTTTACAGCCAGTTGATCAGAATGTGTCTTTCTTGGCTAACACATGAAATGAGAAAAAGATAAAATCAGTTGATCAGAATGCTAACACATGAAATGAGAAAAAGATAAAAACCATTAAATCCTTATATCAAAGAGCTACTATACAAAAAGAGAGAGAGAGAGACGGACAGACAGAAAGAAAGAATATAACAGAGAGATATTCAAAAGAGAAGATTGCAATTCTTACAAGTATATAGCAAGCCGCAGTGCGATACCATCTCCTTAGGAAGCATTCTTCAAATAACCTTAAACACACAATCGATAACAAACACATTAATATGAAATGATGACAGCATTGTCTACCCCAGAGCAAAATGGGATAAAATAAGAGAAATCCACTACATATTACCTTTCAAACTTACAAATGACACTAAATATCTATCAAGATTGTAATTTCATCACAAACTGATAGGTCAAAATGGAAGAAAGCCATATTTCAACACTTTCCATTCACTAACATCAAAAGTCAAAACATCTAACTCCCTGATTTTCATAAATTAATAAAGGGTCAGAGTAACCCAATGAATAGCCTGATTGTAAGCAGAGGGCTAAACCTTTCCCCAAATGAGAACGCTGCTCATCCCTAATTATATCAAATAATCAATGAAGAATAACGCGTAGAAAAATGAAGGATAAAAGGGTGCAGAGTGAGCATCAAGCCACAATTGTGTTAATAGAATACCAAGTAATAAATTAGTTTTTATTGTGAAGGCTAAACTATGAACTGAAAAGGGCACAAACTTTGCAGGAAAAAAGCCACATTTCAAAAACTGATGCTTGTGTAGATACCAACCTTCTTCATTGCACAATGTTCCTGTCTAAATATCTTTGAGAATTACGGTAAAAACATTAGACAAAACTCAAAAAGAGGTATCTCTGCTGGGGCAGAATATTACTCTGTTGATCTTCCAGCAGCAGAGAATAAATCTGCCCAATATCGACCATCAGTTTTTCTTGCAACACTCACAACTACATCAAGATACTCTGAGAAGTTTCTTATCAAATCACAGGTCTTCTCCAAAAGAGAGCAGTTGCCAGCATGTTTAGGAACTGATACCTGGTTCTTGTTCGCATTTTGCCTGCAAGGGAGTGCTTTAATTTAGAAAGCCAACAACAGAGTCCATGCTGATTGTTTAAATCAATGAATATAGACATATCAATGAACCACATATTTTCCAACTTGATAAAAAACAAGATTTAGTTGACCAAGGAGACAAATCAAAAAGCCATGTGATTGTGCCCATGAACAAACAAATACAATTGAAGCTGTCACCCCAAAGTTTCTTCGTTATGGTCGTTGCGTTCAAACAACAGTTATGTGGAATAAAGTTGGCTTAGAAGCTTGTTGATTGCATATTTCATTAGTATCTGGCTCCCAGAAAACAATTCTAAGCATTGATCTTCTAGTTATCATGCATGACATGGTCCCATCTCTCTTTATGAAATACACATACCTTGAAACTTCTGCATCAAATACAGTAAAAAGGAGCAATTCCAGGCAATGGGAAAAGTGAGGCTTTTCTGCTGATAATTGTGCTAACCGCAAAGCCTCCTCTGTTTTGTCTCTCTGGCAGACAAAGAATCACAAACAGAAGTAAAGCATGCCTTAACGCTAGAAGGAATGTGAGCATGTGTTTTCAGCAGCTGGTTTGTTTCACTAGCATTTCTTTTCTGATAAAAACAGGACTTTCATACAGACAAGCAACCTTTTAACCATAATGGAAAAACCCACAAAGGGCCTATTTTGGAATTGCATCGTCATGGTAATCACCACAAGGTAAAAACTTCTTGTACTCCCACACGGTAATCACCTCATGGCATTTACAACTTCACTATGGCATGTACCATCATGTAATCAACAGTGTTATAATTTTGACATGTAATGTTGGCCTAGACCCTGGATCATGACAATTGGTGACTAAAAAGCAGAAACACGAAATTGGAACTAGCATTTTATTTGCTCAGGGTTATCAGTGAACAGTGAATCTATGGATATCCAAAACTTCAATTGAAAAAAAAAAATGACTTTTCATCCCAGACCAATTTATTTCTAGCACCAAAGTGATAAAAACACTGCAGAAGCCAAGTGCTAAAAGCCAAAACCAAAGAGAATTCCAGATGCTGGCTTGCCATATGCCCCAGCTCACAGCATAACCGCTTAGTTGATCAATTAAGTCTCATGCAATAGCTAAATTGATGGTTCATACACAGAAATTATGTTGCATGTGAACTTAAGTAACCTTCTTCTAATACCAAAAGGAGAAAGCATAAGCAGCTTCCTCAAGTTTTCAAATACCAAGTCCAACAATTGTTTCCCCTTCTGCATCGACTATGGGGTTAAGTTTGATTGGAGGTTAATGGGAGTTATAATTTACCCTTGTGAAATTTAGTTTGTTTGGTTTCTATTTTTGGAAAAGATAACTTATTAAAGGGTTACTCGTTACCCTAAAGTGGTATAATTTTTATGGTAAAATTTGAACTCCATGCATTTTTTTTCAGTCTCCTCTTTGTCCCAAAGCACACACCAGATGAAGTTTTTATTACTCTCTCATCAACCATTTCTAGTAGCTTAATTGCGTTCTCTCTCTTTCTACCAAGTAAATGATTCACTCTTCGATTTATTAACATGCCAAACATCCTTAAAAACTAACTCTTGCACCCTTAAAAATTACTTTTGTAATAATTACTCCTTTAATAATTACCCCCTATTTTTTAACCCCGCACCAAACACCACTTAGGTAAAAATCAAAAGCAAAACGCAGGAGAAGTAGAAATAAAAGAGTAGTGATACCTGAAGAAGGTGTCTGAGTAAGCAATGCAGTATGGTTTGAGCTTGAGGAGATGGCTCAAAACATGGAAATTCAGTGCAAGCTGAAAAGGACATTCTCTGGGAAACACCAACAACCACCCCAGCATTTGGAAGAAGCCCTAGAGGATACACTTCACGATCAAATTCTAGTTCTGGGTCCAACTAAAAGATAAATCATAAGATGTCAAGTTAGACCTATTCAGATACATCAATCAAGAACCAGACTGAAATCACTGAAAACCAAAAGGATTGCTGTTAAGAATATATATATATAACCGACATAGATGAATAGAGTACAAAATAAGCTAAACCAAATACATGTAGCAACAAATAATGGTATAGACAGAGAAAAGGATATAGCTTCCTTATAAATAAAGACATATAACTGAAGTGCTAAAATCACAGTCAAACCAGAATTTAAACAAAGCCAAGTCCATTTTACTGACTTCAAAAGAAACTGAATCAATCAAAGCTAATCAAGAATGCTTAAAATTTAACTTGCGGGCTAACCGACAAGTTCTGTCTTCTAAGTATTAAGCGTAGAAATTTCACAACAGAAAAAGAAAATGAATTTGCATCCAGGAAGTATACAAAATTCACAAGTCCTGCTCCATATCATCTGTCAAATACTATGGTATAAAGAACCTTTAATGTTACTGATTATATGCATACCTGCAAAAAGTCTTCCTGTTTAAAAGGATCAGCACCTGGAGATGGATACCAAACCTGTAAAAGAAAGCTTCCAACAAGATCTAGATCAGACAAGTACAGTAGACAGACATTAAAGGTAACCAATTATAGAAGCTAATAATAGCTAGGAGTACAGGAAAGAGATTATGAAGCTTAGCATTAAATTACCTGCATGCCTCGGTGGCCATAATCCAGCCAAGACACTTCCTCAATTAGACTTGTCTTCTCCTCTGATTGACCACATGTAACCCAAAATAATTCAACAGAGTCAGTGAGCTCTCTTTCATGTCCATCATCCAAATCCAAAAGCAAAAGTTTCCCATTTGTTCTCAGTATCAAACATCTAGCAAAGTGTGCAGCGATTCAGAGGCATATGGTACACAAAAGAAATTCCATCAGTATTTGCAAAGATGAATACCTTGCAGGCCCTGTGTCCAAAAACTCTGAAGATGAAATATGATTGTCTGAGGTCAACTCTCTTGGAAGCTGGTCAGGGATGAAACGCATAGCTGCTGGATGGCTCTTTGCAGTCATTATAGAAAGTTCTCGTACTGTAGAAAGCTGTTTGTCATTTTATCACTTCAAAGTATGAAGAATAAAGTTTCACTAAAATACTCAAGTGCAAAATTAAACTCCAAGAGGACATGGATATAAAAAATATTCCCATATATTGGTTATAATATTTAATAATAAGAAGCTGGAAAATATTCATTTACCTGCAAATCTGGAGTGCTAGAAGGAGTCAGTTCACCTAACAATCTTACATGGAATATGTGGACATCAAACGGGCGATATGTGACAATTATATGGTTTTGATAGACATCCATCACCATTGGTTTAGCAAGCAATGGCTTTCGACAAAGTAAGGAGCTCTGGTCAAGGTGGTATCTTGGATAAAAAAGTAATTCATACCTGCAGAAAACCAATTATTTGAATAATAAACTATATTGCAGGGTTCAATAAGATAAAAATTGTAAATCTACCCAAATACATAAACCAAGACTGACAAGTGCCAAAGATGAATGGCTTAAGAAATCAGCCCGGCCTGTACCAAGTCTCGCCTAAACACTTTGTTGCACAAACAGGGAAAATCATTTTGGAGGTCTTTTTAAGAGGCTTCTCTATAGTGAAATCCTGAAGCAATGGCATGTCAAACCTTTGTGAAACTTCAACTTCTCAACAAGTATTCTTCTATTTAAAGCTAGTCTTTACTCTGTCTTTTTTTCTGGGTAGTACCCGGTCTGACTCCTTAAACAAGAAGGAAGAATCTAGAGTTTGTAAACACCTATACAATCAAAGTTGTTTCCTAAGAATTTTGATAATGGACTAACAGGTATTTGATTTTATTTCAAAGGGCTACATGTCAAGTGCTGTGTCTGCATACCTATCATATAAATCCCAATTCTTCCCACATCACAGGAAGGAAAAAAAAATCAGAATTTCCATATTCACCAGCTACCCTACCTCGGAACCTGTCCCAATTACCACCCCAGTGAATTAAAAGGGTTGGTCTACCTAATCATAATTCAGGAGTGTATCATAGAACACTAACACTTCATGAATCAATAGATATGCAGTGGGCACTATCTGATGCAAATTAGTCAAATGGCTCAAAATCAGATGGTTCCCTCTGCAATATATAG